GTCCTTTCACACAGTTATTTCCTCAACCTTTAGAAATTTAGGTCCTCATTTTTCAAAACTAGATTGCTTTAAAGTGAAAAGGAAGACCATGTAAGATCCGAAAAACGGGAGTTTAACTCACCATAAAAGTGACGTTTCTACATGTTTTACGGGATTTATATTGGGTGCTCATCGGATCTGAACTAATGTGGACGGTTCAGATTTAATTTAATTTAATTTTTATTTTTTTAAAATAATTATTTTAATAAGTATAGGATAAAAAATAAAAATAATCTTTTAATTATCATATTTTAAAAAATATTTTTTTATTTTAAAATAATTATTCAAAAATATTAAACATGGACCATCCAGATTCACCTAGTGCTTATCACTTGATGAGCACCAAATGCGAACCCTGTTTTACCACAGCATTATATAATTTCATGACATTCCGGGAACAACTTTTTTTTTTTTTGGCGCATTAGATTTTGGATTCGACAAGGAAGGAAAATAACAAAAGAAGAATTAGACTTTACAGCTCATTAACCTCAATGGTGTCATCTCACTTTGTAAACTATTCAAAAGGACTGAAAGAAATTAAATAGTGTCGAGTAATATTGGTTGGGGCGAGTTTTGGAGCTTAGTATGAATAGAAAAACTCATGTTGGAAGAGCTTTTCAATGATTATGGAGCCATGTCACTCAAATTTGGCTTGGTCGGTGATATCATACATACATATAATATAATTTGTCACAAAATAAAAAGAAATTAAACCATGTATGTTGATCATGCTGGTCGTATCATACTCAAATTAATTTTAAATTAACCTCTATATATTACAATAATAAACCTAGATCGATTCTCTACACAGTAGAGTCTATTTAAATTTGGTTCCTAGATTAATTAAGTGCAAATAAACAATTAAAGGAAACATAAGAACTATAAAAAAAAAAATATTTTTTTGGATTTTTTATGTTATAAATGATGAAAAGGAATTAAGAAAATACGAGCTAGCGTAGGATGATAAAGCTTCTTGAAAACATATGCGTGACTATTACAATTCAAAATATAGAGTTAGTTTATTGCCAAAAAACCAAAGATAGAGTTAGTTATCTACTAAGTCCCTAACATACAAACCTCAGGCAAACATCTAAATATAATTATTTAATCAATAAATATACCAAGTAACCTAGAATATAATTATCTTTTAAATAATTATTAATTACCAATTAGCATGTAATTTATATACAATTTATAACTTGCTCATCTAAAAAGAACATTCAACCGAAGTGCTCAGAATAAAAATCAATTATAAATTATAAAATCATCAAACCCATATAAGAAATATATAACTGAATAATTCAAATTATAAATTTAGACATAAATCACAAATATTTAATCACAATTAAATCAAACGGAAATCAAAGTCTCAAACCTAGAAATTCGAAACTTCAACTATAGGAAATCATAATAACATATATAAGAGAAACAGGGTAGAGTAACAAGCCATGGTGGATTTTAATTTTATGATTTTCCCATTTGCTAAATTTCTTCTGTCTTCATTTGTATTTAGTCCAGTTATTCAGTGCTCGATCATCAGGTTTCCTACAAAGTTAAAAGACTTAATAAGTCGACGAGACATGCATAGAGACTCTAGTTAAATTAAAAAAAAAGCCAATATTTATAACTAAGGACACAAATATCTCAACGTAAGCATCCGAAATTAACATACACTTCATTGATGACTCTCTAATTATTTTTGAAAATGACACAAATATTACGAAAAATAAGGAGTCATTAAACCCCCCCCCCAAAAAAAAAAAAAAACAATCACACACACACACACACGATAAGACGAAGTTAGGTAGGGAGTAGATTTTTAAACAAATAAGCTGTGTTTCATATATGTTGAAAGGCGTTTATGACACATGACAATGACGTGACTTATTATAAATTTTATTTTAAATAAAATGACTAATTAATTTTGATTCAATCCTCTCTTAAGAGATCATAGCATATGTTAGAAAGATAGACGTATGACTCAATGAATTTCATTGATGTGAATACTGTTTAACTTATACATACATATAGATTTAATTTCTTTTTATTGTGACAAATTATACGTTATACACACACACACACACACACACACACACGATATTACCGACCAAGCCAAATATGAGCGACAGGGCTCCCTAATAATTATTGAAAAGCTCTTCAAATATGATTTTTTTTCCCTATTCATATCAATTAAGTTCCAACACTCACCCCCAATAATGTTGGTAGAATTTATTTAATTTCTTTTAGTCCTTTTGAATGTTTTCCAAAGTGAGATGACATAAGTGAGGCTAATGAGCTGTAAAGTCTAATTCTTCTTTTGATATTTTCTTTCCTTGTCAATGTCCTAAAGCACTTATTCTGAAGTCTAACACATCAAACATGTCTAATTCCAAAAAAAAAAAAAATTGTTCCCCGAGTATCATGAAGTTAAAATACTGTGATAAAACATGTAGAAAGCTCAATTTTATGGAGAGTGGAACTTTTGTTTTTAATTTTGGTAAAAAAAAAATATTGTTTTTTTATATCTTATGATCTCGCTTTTTATTTCAAAGCAATCTAGTTTTGGAAAATGTAGACCCAAATGTCTAAAGGATGTGAAGAAATAACGTTATGAAGCACGTACTGCCCCACCTTATCTCAAAAGAAGATGCTCTTCTTCATTGGGAAACAATTGCTTAGCATTCAATTTTCTTTTGTATTGCCCATCATTTTTAAAGAATTAATTTATTTACATATATATATGTTTAAAATTTATGAATTTGTCACATTTAATGTATTGTACTGTATCGTGCTTATTACTTTTACTCAATACACATCTTCGTATCTCTGCAACATGGCTTTGACAAAAGCTGAACAAAACAAAAGGGTAAACAACACGTTACATTATTCTTACAATCACAAGCAAACAAAGAATCGCAAAAATCAAAACTTGAACGTGTCCAATTGTGAGGGTTCTAATCTTGAAGTGATTGAAACAAACTAGGTAAAGATAGCTCTTAGATATTCAAAAAAATGAAATCAAGAGACGGGTTATTATATAGTTCTTGACTTGTGGGTCTCCCACTAAGTGCGCGCGCGCGCGCACACACATATATATCTCCATGGTTAAACAACTTGAAAATTCTATATGGAGGTGTTTGGATTAGCTTTTTAAAAATGATTTTAGAGAGTTCAAAGTATGTAAAAGAATTTTTGTCTTGGCTTGTATGAAATCACTTTTTAAGTGGGTCACATCTTAATCTCTTTTTTATTTATTGTTTTTCTTAAATTTATCAGATTATATACATATGATTTACTATCCCAGGTCCTTGATATAAGACCTAGTGGACTAATTTAAAGAGATTAAGAAAAATAAATAAATTACTTAATTATATCATATGTTACATGATCTTTCTAAAATATTTATTCATATCACTAGATTACAAATCAATTTATAAGTCAAACAAATTACTTTGGATGAAAACGATACCCTTTTCAATTATTTTATATGTAAACTTACTTTTCTATTACTTATCCAAATAATTTTCAATTGAGCAAATTGACTTTTATAAAAGAACTAATCCAAAAATAAATCACTTTACACTGACTTACTTTTACCCTAATTGATTTTTGCAAAAGTTAGGTAGAATAAAAGTCAGTTTTGCCAACGCTAATCCAAATACACCCTAATACGCCAAAGATGTCTAGTGCAACAAAAATAAAAGCAGACAATGGTTCCCAGAATATCATGAAGTTATATAATGCTGTGATAAAAAATGTAGAAACGTCACTTTTATGGGGAGTGATCAGAATTTTGTTTTCTATATCTGATACGGTCTCGCCTTTTTATTTCAAAACACAACCCTCCACTTCATTAAAAGAAAGGAAGGAAGGAACAGAAGAGAAGAAGCTAATCGTAAGTTTTTTTGCTTGACAATTAAAGCATTCATAACTTCAGTTTAAGAGAAGAAGTGAACCAATCAATTGACCTTATCTATTGACTACAATTAAATAGAAAATCGTAAGGGCACATCGCATAAAGCGGACAAGATCATATAAAAACAAATATAATAATACATATAACTGAGTTCATGCATTAATTATCCGTAGATTAAGATGTTGTTAGTGCATTCACTCCTGGAAAGTTTGTTTATTTTTATTTGTCCTTTCACTATAACAACCAAATGCCAAAATGGAGGACAAAAATGATGTCTTATAATTACTGTTATATGTACATTATCATAACAATATATTTTGCCGGCCAATCTAAACTTTTTTTTGCGATATAGCAAAATACATATAAGTAAAGAATAGGATTTTTCCCCCCATAAAACTTGTGCAGAACTTAATGGATAGGATTTATAGTGTGTCGTGTATTAATAATATGACTTCTTACAGATTCTATATTTTACTCTCATTTTTTGTGTTTACATTTTGTATTAAACGTTCTCAATGTGTTGATCGATTATTTTCTCCTTCTGAAATGATTTCATGAATCATGGGATATGGAATGCGTTTTCCTTCATGATTTGGTGTCATTAGTTGAAGCAGGAGAATGAAAAAGATAAACTGTACCGGGGTTTTCATAGTTTAACTAGTTAGACTAGCGATCGAACCCATAATAAGTAAATAAAAAGTAAATAAAAAAATAATTATATGAATATATAATAAATATATAAGAAATAAATTCATAATATTCTCTGCAAAGAAAAAGCATGCGATAGATTAATCCATGTAAGTGATTTTACTTTTTAACTTTTGATCGGAGCTAAAAGACATAAATCTGATATGAAATGATCATAGCCATCCATTAAATCACAAGAGTTAAAACGATAATGCTGAAACTAAATATTCACTTCAGTCTTATACAAGTCCCAAACTGGTCATACATATGATACAAAAACCACAAACTTAAAAAATTTACATTAGAATGTCAAGTGCAACACTTTAATTATACAAGCAGACACACATACAAATGAAGTTCAATCCCTCATTAGTTGTCCAATTGTGATGGTGTGAAATTGATCCTCTGAATAGTGTTTTGGTGTCCTTGCTAGCTCCGTAGATGCTTGTTCCATCGTTGGACGAGATTGAGGAGTCTCATTCACGCAACAAAAAGCTATTTTTGCAACTAAGATCACATCATCTAGGATTGGTTTTGTGAGTGGAGAAATTCGTGGGTCTAACACATCCCTTAACAACAAATCATTATTGGTTGAATTCTCCGCCAAAAATGAAATGAGCTCTGCGGGATGTGCACCCATAATGATTTCTAAAGTCAACACTCCAAAGCTATATACATCACATTTCTCATTGGCTTGCATGATGAAAGCAATCTCTGCAGTAGGATTTAATGTCACATATTTGCATACATAATATAGCAAACGTTAATACTTTGGAAAGAAAAAACAAAAGGGTCTTACCTGGTGCAGCATACCCAAATGTGCCAGCAAATGTGGTGATATTGTTTGAGTTAGGACTCAAAAATTTTGCCGTTCCAAAGTCAATGATCCGAGCTTCTTCATAATCAGAACTTAGAAGAACATTCTTGCTTGATATGTCACGATGAACAATAGGAATTGAACAACCATGATGCATATGGAATAAACCATTAGCCACGCCTTTGACAACATTCACCCTCTTTTTCCAGTCAAACACAATGGCTTGTTCCTCATTTTTTAATATGTGGTCCAAGCTGCCACCTTCCAAGAACTCATAAACCAAAATAGAGAATTGTGAATTGGAATAAAACCCATACAACTTCACAATGTTACGATGTTTGATTTCTGTCAAAGCTTGGATCTCACTTGTGAAAGCTTTTTGGTTGGAGATTTCCCCACTTGGCATTGAATGAAGCTTCTTTACTGCAATAATGTCTCCTGTAGGCAACTTAGCCTTATAAACACTTCCTTGGCCCCCTTTCCCAATGAGATATCTTTCATCAAATTCCTTTGTGGCTTCAATGATGTCTTCATACAATATTTCTCTTTTAAGACTCCATACAAAATAAACATCTTCTGGTGCACTTTCTCCATCTTTGCTTTTTGCTTTCATTGCTATTCGAGCAAAAATGAAAGACGCTCCAACAAATACTAGCAGCAGTATGGCCAATGGAAGGAATATTATCAGGAACTTTTTGCTCTTATGGCCATGTCCATTTGTTTGAAAATCACTACAGGGACTTAAACCAGTGACATTACCGCACAAGCCTTTGTTATTCCTTAATGCATCAATGTTGTGAAAGGCAGGTTTGATTGGAATAGGGCCTTCTAATTGATTGTATGATATGTCAACTATAGACAGAGCTGACATTGATCCACTAAAGCCGGAAGGAATGGTGCCAGTGAGATTATTGTGTGAGAGATTCAAAACTTGCAAGTTAGGTAACATTCCAAGCCTCAATGGTATTGTTCCAATTAGCAAATTGTCACTAAGATCAAGTTGTTCAAGTTTTAGGATCTCGCCAAACTCAGGGGGAATGCTTTCATCAAATTTGTTTTTGCTCAAGTTCAAGACCCTTAAGCTTTTCAATTCCCTAAGCTCGCTTGTGATTGAACCAGTTAAATTATTTGCTGCTAACTCCAAAATTTCAAGTTGACTAAGTGATCTTATACCTGAGGGGACATTACCAAAGAAGTTATTGTCACTCAAAGAGAGTTTCATCAATTTGGTCAACTTCCCTAGTTCATTTGGAATTTTTCCAGAGAAGTGATTTGAAGACAAGTTAAGTAAACCAAGTTTAGTTGCCCCTTTTAGTTCTGGTGGTATATCACCAGAAAGCTTGTTATTGTGAATAATCAATTGTGTGAGATTTTGACACTTCCCCCACTTGGACGAAAGGTGGCCATATAATTGATTTCCACTTAGATCGATGTAGTACAAATAAGGATATATCCCAAAAGCAACTGTTATATTATCTGCTATTTGGTTATTATCAAGCCTTAATCTTTCTAGACTAGAACAATCCTTCAAACTTCTTGGAATAGGACCAGTGAAATGGTTATCATTAGCAGTAAACTTAACCAACATCCCACCTTGACAGATATTTTGTGGCAAAGGACCATTGAAATGATTATAACTCAGTTGTATGGTATAACAACTTGTCAAGTTATTCATTTCTTGTGGAAGTTGACCACTGAAATTGTTGCTGTCTAGGCACAAGGAGGTGAGCTTTGTCATGTTTCCAATAGTGGAAGGAATAAATCCTGAAAGACTATTGCTTTGAAGGGCGACATCATATACATTGATTAAGTTACCAATGGATGCAGGAATTGGACCGAAAAATCTGTTCTTAAAAAAGAACAATTTTTCGAGATTTGTTAGGTTTCCTATGGAGGGAGAGATTGCCCCAGAGAATCTATTATAACTTAAATGAATGTTAATGAGAGAATAGAGTTTCCAAAATTCATTAGGAATAGGACCCTCAAGATTGTTCCCAAAAAGATAAAGATTTTGTAACATGGTCAAGTTTCCAATTGATGATGGGATTCTCCCTGACAGAGAATTTCCTCCTAAATCAAGCTCTAAGAGATGGCTCAACATTCCAATCTCTTCAGGAATGGGACCGGAAAAGGAATTTTGTCCAAGCAATAAGAGATTCAACTTCCTCAAATTCCCAATTTCATAGGGAATTCGTCCTGTGAGATTACATGAACTAAGATCAAGAATATTTAAAGCGGTTAGATTCCAGATTTCAGGAGGAATGGGACCCTTAATTGGATTATCTGCCAAACTCAACATCAAAATACTGGAAAAATTACCAATTTCGTGTGGAATGTTTCCATGAAATCGGTTGGAATTTATTTCGAAGTAGAGGAGATTAGGAAAGGCAGCGAAGTCGAGACTGGAAAGTGTACCTTGAAGGCCAAGATTTGACAGCCTTATCTTGATCACAGACATGGATTTATCACAGGAAATTCCCCTCCAGGATTGTCCGCAGGGATTAGTACCATTCTTCCAAGAGGACAAGGTAGCTTTGCTTTGGTCGTTAAAGCCATCTCTCCAATTTAACAGAGCTTCTGCTTTGCTATCTCCAGCAACAACAGATGCAAAGGAAGCAACACAGAAGAATAATGCTAGCAGCTTAGTGGAATCTCTTTCAGACATGTTTTTTTGGTGAATTTTTGAATCAGCTTGGAATATATTCAAAGACGGAATATTAGTAGTTCGGTGGGTGAGTCACGTTGGTGGTTGTAAATTGTGGGTATCTGAGGATTGGGATGTTCAAGTTGATGATACAGATCTTCTTATAGCATGGATTGGCCTTGCAGGCAGTAATTGACCTTAAGAAAGATTAACTAGCCAATATTGCTTCAACCAAGCTTTTTTCTTTAATTTTATGTTATCCTAGTTTCCAGGGATATAAAGTAGATGATGATGTGGATTTGTAAGAAGTTTTCCTTTTTAAATTGATTAAGTTTCACTTCTTTTTCTTTTATTTTCTCTTTTTTTTTTTGGGGTTTTGTTTTGTTTCTTAATTTTCAGCAGCAACAATACGTAACTCGTCATTATTGTATTGTTTTCCCAACACTTTCAGGAGCTTCAGACAGAACTTGATTAAGTGCCTGTTTGGTAAAGTGTTTGAGGGGGGCAAAAAAGTAACTTAAGAGTGTGATAAATCAGTTTACAAATTTAAGAGTTGTTTATCATAACTTTTGGCCTATCTAACTTATGAGTCAAAAGCTATTTTATTAAACATGATTGCAAAAGCATCTAAAATTTACTTATGACTTATGTAAAAGGAGCTTTTTGGAATTAAAAGACATTTTTAACCTTATGTTTATGTTGTTCTTATGCTTTTCTCTATATATTTCTTGTGCTTCTCAATCAATTTTTAGTTATTTATTTTTAATATTCTCTTAAGTGAAAATAATTTTTGACTGTTTTTATAATATTTTTAATTTTTAATATTATTTTTATTTTATATTTATGTAAATTATGTAGGGTATATCATCCAATTAATTATGGAATATTATGTGGTTCAAAATTTTTCACATTACTATTGACTTCTAATTTAAATATATTTTATTCATTAAATATAACTTCTTACTATTATAATAATTTAAAATTGTTATATTTTGTAAATTCATATTTTTTATTATTTAATAAAAGTCATACCTATTTTGGTCATTCTACAAACTAAGTTTATTTAATCATAATCCAAACAACTTTTTTACTTTACAAACTAACATTTATAAAAGTCAATCCAAATATAAATCACCTTATCTAATCTAACTTTTACCCAATCTAACTTTTCTAAAAGTTATATTGAAAATAAATAACCTTTTCTACTGCCAATCCAAATGGACTATAAGAAGATCTGTTTAAATTTTATCTTTGTATTTATATCAATCAAATATACAATACCTCTTCATATCTTTTTGATAAGATCCTTTAATTACTTGATTTAAAAAGACAGTAAAAATTAGTTAAAAACAATGATAAATATGAAAAAAATCAAATTTTTTTAAGTATGTCCTTATTTAATAAGAAAACAAATAAGAAAAAAAATATTAATAATAAGATAAAGGAAGAAAGAGAATGTAATATGAGAAAAAGATAAGCTGAGAGAATAGAAAATTAATGGGAGAATTAGAACAAAGGACCTACAAAAAAAATATTTATTATAGAGGATCTTAGAAGTGGTAATTATTTCAAAAGACCAAAAACCAATATGTGAATACATGAATACTAAATTGCCCTTGAGGTCAAAAATATTAAATTTCCCCTGGCTAAACCTTTATATTTCCCAAGTTCAAGAGTGAGTAATCCGCAATCGAACATGAAAAGAGAAAATCAATAATGCTGGAAAGAGTTGGAGCGCAACAAATCGGTTGCAAATCATGATAAAAATGAAGACTGGTTTCGAGCTATAAAAATTAAAATAGCACATTTGGATCAAGGCGCAGGGATCTCGGCCAAATGCATGTGTGTTTCTTATAATTGGATCTTGCAAAATGGCATTATATCTGTGCATATATTGAAATCAGAATGTGATTCGAAGTGGAATTACATCAAAAGCAACCACAAACCCCCATAGATGAAGACTAAGTTTTGACGTTACAATTGATATAAAAGGGTTTTCTGAATCGCGTGGTCCAAATTAAATCAATAGGCCTTCTCAATTTACATTTAGTTTGAATATATTTATAGGCTTTATAGTGGCATCTAATACGCAGGTTGACTTGGTTTATTTATTATCTTTGTCATGTATAGGCTATAAGAGATTCATAGCAAAGGCAGAGAGAGAGAGAGAGAGAGAGAGAGAGAGAGAGAGAGAGAGGCACGGTTAGATATTTAGGTGGTGAGAAAGACGACCGGTGTAGTATAGGTGTGAAATCAAAGACATGCGACAACGAACTTACTTACAGAAGAAGATGAAATTAAAAAGAAAAGAGTATGAATTGGGTGAGAAATACAGCAAATCAAGATGACGAGAAATAGAGACTCATATGTAATCAAGAAAAAGAAAGAGAGATTCATAACTGTTAGCTAATGTGGTAAGAGAAAACGTAGAACAGGCGCAATTTAGTATTTTGGGCATGCATCTTTCAGTTTTTGGTCTTTCAAAATAAATACAATTTTTAAGATCCTTTCTAATAATTGTTATTTTTTCTAGGTCCTTTGCCTTAATTTTTCCAAAATTAATTTGGAGCAAGATTGGCATGCATACATCTAATGTTTAGACAACCCTAAGTATAATCTTATTATATCAAAAGGACCAAAACAATTTAAATTTTATAATCTTATATAAAAAGGATTGGAGTGAGTATAATTGACCTACAAAACTAGATCTTGTATTAAAGATCAGAGATAGTATTAACTATTGAGAATGACATTTAATTAACTATGCTCCCATGTCCTAATGATAAAACATAGGGGTGTGTATGAGGCTCGCATGCTTGGTGCACCCACTTGTGCCCCAAAAAAAAGGCCCTGCCCATCCTAACAAAAGGCTACTCCAATAAAAATGGACATCTTCAAACCAAACTAATTCACAGGCAGGCCTGGGCCACCGGCAAGGTATGCTATTCTCCCCATTTGGTTCTGCCTTATAATATATAGTGTAATATTATTTTTTAGCTATTATTTCCTTTTATTTTGGCCAAAAAATTTGGAAAAAAAATAAAAAAGACATAAATAAAATAATATTTATCATTGAAAGGATCATAAAATTTATAATTATATAAAAGGGACAAATATCAAAGTATAAGATGAAGTCAGGTATTACGATCTCTAGACGATTCTTATTTATTACCTCTTTTTTTTTTTTTTTTGCATAACAATGGCAAGCTGGAGCTTGAAATACAGAAAGGAAAAGATCCTAAACCTCTCAAAAGGTTAAGGCTAAGAATCCTGTTGCTGATCTCACATAATCATCTCCAAACAGCTGGGGGGAATCGACGGCACAAGCATTAGTTGGTGGTGATCATGCCCCTTCCTTGCCATGTAGTCGGCACACTGAAGAATCTCTCTGCCAGTATGATATAATTGAACTTCCCAGTCGCTAAAGAGTAGCTCCCTAGTTTCAGCTATCACATTCCTCAACGGATTTTCAATGGGACCATCCCTCATTAAACAATTGAAGGCATCAATGAAGTTTGTGTAGATCAACACTTTTTAAAAGCCCAACTGTTTCCCAACGTCCGGACCAGTGCGTATGGCCTTGATTTTCGCTTCCGTTACTGAAAATAAACCAAGTGTTTGGTGAAATACCATGATCCAGTCTCCGTGGTTATCTCGGATGACTCCTCTGCATGCTGCTTGGTTGAAAGACCAGACAGACCCATCAACATCAATACGTACATCGTCCTGCGGCGGTGGTATCCAACAAAATTCCTCAGCCTTTCCATGCATGAAAATCTGATGTTTAAGGTTCTGGTTAGCAGTATATTCCATCAGGTTGTGTAGACATGTCTGTAATATTTTTCTGGCATTTGCACTGCCCCCTCCAAGAGAGAAGTTGCATCTAGTAGTCCATAATATCCAACAGACTGAACTGAAGACTCGATTCCATGCGAATTTGTTGAAGCGTCCACTACCCGGATGATGCTTTGTATTCTAATCTAGCCATACCTGCAAATTTCTGGCAAAAAATCTAGAAAAAGCATTAGGTTTTAATATTTTTTTCCACACCTCCCTTGCTCTCTCACAGTCTCTCAGAATATAAAGGACGCTCTCCTCACTTGCACACTGATAAGGGCATTCACAAGTCTTTGAAAGACCTCTCTTTGCTCTGAGTGCATTTGTAATCAGTCTCTCATGGGCCACTTGCCACATGAAGAACTTGACTTTCTCTGGTAGCTGCCATTTCCATAGTTGATTCCAAAGACCCCCTTGTCTATTCCCTTCACAATTTGTGAGGAATTTGTATGCCATTTTGACAGAGAAATTTCGATCTTTTGCTGGTCTCCACGTAAATCTGTAAGGAGCATTATTTAATGGTGGGTTCATTTTTGTGAGTATTCTAATCACCCAATGAGGGAGAATTCCTCTCTATCTACTAGCGTCCCACTGTCTTGTTACTGTAACATGGTCATAAACTCTTTCTACTGTGTTAACACTTGATACATTTGGGACAAAGGAGATGAGTGGTTTATCGATGGGTAGCCACATGTCCTCCCAAAAACTTGTAGTCTCTCCATTGTTTACTTTCTTTCCAAGTCCAGCCAGAAAAATCTCCTACACTTCAAATATGGCTTTCCAAGTTAAGGAGGAGTTTTGTTTTTTCGTCACCACTGGATTGTATCCCTATCCACAATTGTATTTGGCCCACAAGTACCCATAGCGCTTCTTTCTTTGTAATCAGCCCCCAACAAAGCTTTAAGATAAAAGCTTTGTTCTGTTGTCGCGAGTTTTTGATTCCCAATCCTCCAAGTTCTTTTTGTAGAGTAATCTTGTCCCAAGCGATAAGATTCATCTTTCTTGCTTCGGTGTCTTGGGACCACAGGAACCTCCTACTTAGTTTCTCAATCTCCCTTAGAATACCCAGCGGTAGGAGAGTAGACTTTTTCTTTTGGTTTTTTTTCTTACATTAGGTCTAGTCTAAGCCTAGAATCTAGAGCTAGCGTAAAAAGTCCCCTATATCTACACCGGTCTTAAATCAG